CAGAACTCTGAGCTCACGGGCTGTACATTTTCTGCGAAAACGTATCGTAGTTTGCATCAACATCTGAAACTGGTCGTGACCCAAAATAGGCCCGGAGCCAGCAGGGAGCTGCAGCCTGTTGTTGACTTAAGGGCAGGGAACGGCGGGGAACTATGGAAAGCCCTAGGGTCACTTGAGCGGAAGCGGAGAAAACCACCGCGGGTCTCGGCCTGCTTCCCTGCCTCCGGGAGCCCAGACCAGCACCAGCCGAGCCCACTCTTCACTGCCCCCGGGACCAGGCACCGCTTGCAGGTCTTACTAAAATTACCTCAGGAAACCAGCGCCGGTGGAACAAGCCCGCGGATCTTCAGCAGATGGCCGAATCCCGCCTTCAAACCCAGCGCGGGGGCGGGGCCAGCGCGGGGGGGCGGGGCTTCCGCATCGGGAAGGCGGGCTCTACGCGAGGCCTGCCGGGGACTGGCGTTCGGCAGAGGGCGGGGACGGGGCGGGGGCGGGGCTGGAGGGACGGGTCGCCGGAGACGAGAGCGCATGGGTGGAGGAGCCAATCCTGAGAAGGCGGGCCCAAGGGGCGGACCCAGGGGCGGGGCCTGGCCGGGGGCGGGGCTTGAAGCGCGGGCCTAGTTTCACTCACTTCTCCAGGCTGCCCGCGGCGGAACCCTGCTGCAGGAGCAGAGCGAGGCGTCTAGTTCTGCTGCGTGGAGCTGTGAGAGCTGTGCGGTGAGTGCGGCCCTCGTCCCTTTCGCCCCTAGGTGGGTTCCTCTCCTCGCTGGCCCAGCGCTCGCCCCGGGGACCTGCCCGGTGTGCAGCTGCTACGAGGAGGCGGCGGAGATGGGCGATCTGGGCGGCGGATCCTTTGTTTTGCACTGGCGAGGGTTGCGGGGCGAGCAGTGAAGGCGGCGCAGCGACAGATCCGGCGGGGGTCGGGGGGAACCGAGACCCGCCGGGCCAGTGATGCGGAGCCGGATCCGAGACCCTGAACCGCAGTACGTGGGGCGGGGCCTGGGGGCCCGGGAGGCCAGGCCGGGGAGCTGGAGACCGCCCGGGTCACCGAGTTTGGTTGGGGAACGGGGGCGCAGCCCAGGTCCTGAGCCCGGGAAGCGGTGGCCGCGGGATGCTGGAGGGCAGCGGAGCAGCGGCTCCGGGAAACTCTGCCCGGGGGTAAAGGCTGGCTGGATGCTGACCTCGGGGCGCTAGCCATGGGCCCATCGTCCCAAGATTGCTCGAGTGTTTGATCTCTGTTGCCTTCTGTGTCTGGGGCCTAGATTTTCTCGGGTTGACTGTGTGGTTTAGTTCTTCCAGAGAACTGATTGTAAGCATTTGAACTTCAATTCCTTTTCATACCCTGAAGGCTTTCGAGAATCCGTTTCTGTTTCCATGGTCAAAGTCACGGCAGAAGCTGCTTTGACACCCCCCTCCCCCACGCCACGTTAAGTTAGTGTGCCTTTCTTACACTTGTCACTCTTCTTAGTGGGGCCGCTCTCCAGCCTAGCTTGAGAACCTGGGTCTTTACCCCATTCTCAGTGTCACCCAGAAACCGCCCTTCACAGCTACCTCTCGCCTGCCCACTCCTTCCGCAGTTAGTCATCAAACCTTGTCGACCCCCTAAATGTCTGCCATATCTGTGCATGTCCTCCATCTCTGATTTCAGACAGCCCAGGTTCTCAACTAGCTGCACCAGCCTGCATACTACCCCCATCCCACCAGCCCCTTCCAGTCCATTCTTTATAACATGAAAATCTATTTTTTTGCCTTCAGGATAAACATGATCTCCTAAACCTGGTTAACAAAGCCAAATACTAATTGGGTTCTGAATACCCTCCCCAGAACTATCTTTTACCATAGTGTTCTTTTACTTTCTGTATAGCTCCTTGCTCACCTTCAGACCTGTTCTCTGCCTGGAATACTTTTGCATTTCCTCTTCCCCCACCCATCACTTCGTTTATCAAACTTAGGCTTCTCTTCTCATGCAAAACTTAAGGCTTAAGTCTTCCCATAAGTTTTCGTTTTGCACCAGGTATTTCTTAACAGGGATGTGTCCTCTATATTTATTTATTTACTATATTCTCTACTAACTGTAAGCAAACACTGTGAGGAACTGACTTTATCATGCTGTTTCTTACTGTCTCTCCTCATATGCAGGACTGGCACAATTACTCTATTAAGCTTTTATGATTATGCTCTATCTAGAAAAAGTAAATTTGATTCAGAATTACTTAGCAAATTAAAATTAACAGGTGTGGATTAGGAAAAAAAATGGTAGAGGTGAAATATGGAGTCATTGTAACAATCTGAATATTCAAGATAGCAGAAGAATTTGCTAAGCAAGGTGGTTAGGTCAGGCAGTGTCACAATAAATGCTCAGCCACTGTGAGTGTGCTGTGGTCATATGAGCTAAAAATGAAATGTAAAGCTTAAATCATACCTGTTACAGCCTGATGTTTGAGAATAAGGCTTTTAACAGTAAGAATATATTTCAGTGAGTGAATTGTTGAAGCATGGCAATAAAACCTGTTCAAAGTAAAGGGAATGAAGTATTGCACCTAGTTAAACTGCCTTTGTGATCCTGAGAAAAGACTTTGCCTTTTGCCATCTTAAGAAACAGAAAGAAGGCGCACAGTGCCGTGGCTCACACCTGTAATCCTAGCTATGCAGGAGGCAGAGATCAGGAGGATCACAGTTTGAAGCCAGCCAGGGCAATTGTTCAAGAGACCCTATCTCAAAAAAAAAAAAATCACAAAAAGGGGCTGGTGGGCCCTGAGTTCAAACCTCAGTACTGCAAAAAAAAAAAAAGGAAAGAAAGGGGCATCTTATCTGATACAGGCAATTACAATGCTGCTTTACTGGTTTGCTTTCAAAACTAATTTAAAACAATCTCCTGTGGCTTCATCCCCCTTCTGACTTTATAGGGCCATATTTTTTTCTAGATTATTCTTTTGAATTCTACCCCAAAGGTAGGGCCTTTAAATAAAAAGATGTGGAATTTTTTAGATTCTTAAATCCTGTTGTGCATATATTTAACAAATAAAAGTGTATCAGTAGAATACACTCTGTTGTTAGACCATCTGAGGTCAAGTCCCTACATGACACTTATTGACTCACCCATAAATTAGACATAATTGGTCCTCACAATAAGGATCAGATGGAATAATGTTTGTGGAAATGCTTTATGAATTTGAAGTTCTATATAATGGTATTTATTTCCCTGTATTTTGTTCTTGTTTCACATATTGCCTGGAGAGCTTCTGCATTGTGATAATGTATGATGTTATGTGATTTAGACTGAACTTGGTCTAACATTTGCATCCTTGAGCCACTTCCGAATACCAATGAGCAGTATGAACACTGATATGAGTTCCACATAGACTGGGGTCTTTGTCTCTTCCACTATTTCAGACAATTAGGGCCTAATGCAGCACTCTGCACACAGTGAGGTTCTATAAGTTATTCTGGTTATCTCTGATGTTCACAGAAGACTCCCAGGCTCCTCTATTCTACATTTATTTCATACAAAATATTTAGGGCTACAAGGGCTTTCTATTTTCTCTTATTTGTTCCTCCAGAAAACTGTACTAGGGCTTCAGCTAGGAAGGGCAAAGACAGACCCCTTGCATATAGCTAGTGCTGTGTTCTTTCTGACTTGTGCCACAAAGTAGGAAGACGTTCCCAAAGAAATTCAAAAAACAAATGGGACAGATTTGGATAAAACTTGAATTTTTTTTTTTTTTTATGGTACTGAGGTTTTAATTTGGGACTGTGTGCTTGCTAGGCATGTGCTCTACCACTTAAGCCATAAGCCACATCTCCAGTCTTTTTTCTCTTTTTTTTCTCTTGCATTTGTTATTTTTTAGGTGGGATCTAGTTGTTTTTTAGCTTGAGCAGGCCTCAGACTGGATCCTCCTACCTATGGCCTCCCATGTAGCTGGGATCACAGATCACAGGCACATGTGCCACTGTGCCCTGCTTATTTGTTGAGATGAGCCTCACTTTTTTTTTCTGGGGTTTGAACTTGGGACCTACACCTTGAACCACTCCGCCAGCCCTTTTTTGTGATGGGATTTTCAAGATAGGGTCTTGCAAACTATGTGCCTGGGCTAGCTTGAACCTCTGTCCTCCTGATCTCTGCCTCCTGAGTAGCTAGGATTACAGGTATAAGCCACTGGCACCTGGCTAAGCCTCACTAACTTTTGTTCCTGCTGGTGCCTTCCCCAGTAGCTGTTATTATAGGCATGAGCCACCATGTCTTTTCTTTTTCTTTTTTAGCAGTACTGGAGTTTGAACTCAGGGCCTCATACTTGATAGGCAGACAATCTACCACTTGAGTCACTCCACCAGCCCTTTTTTGTGTTTGGTATTTTCGAGATAGGGTCTCTTGAACTATTTCCCTGGGCTAGCCTTAAACTGAAATCCTCCTGATCTCTGCCTCTTGAGTAGCTAGGATTGCATGTGTGAGCCACTGATGTTCGACCTGAAGTCTTTTCTTACCCAAAATTGGTGAAAGGATGTTCCTTCTGTTTTATTTATTTAATTTAGAAATATTGATTTAAGGACTTTGTCCTCCCTAATCTGTAATAAATATAACTGTGGTATTTTTCAGATTGTTTGACAGAGATAGATATTTCCCCAGCAGTCATGCTAGGTTAGCTTCATCTTTTTCTATAGAGGTGGACAGAGATGTAGAAAAATGTCTTAATGGCTTTTACACAGGATGCTTAACAGGAAAGCAGTTATTTGGCATCAGAAACACCATAATCATCATTCCTATTTTCTTCTCTTCAGTTGACTTTCTATATCTACAGATTGAATCAATTGTTGACTAAAAGTAATAGAAACAAAAATTGTGTCTGTACTGAACATACAGACTTTTCCTTATCACTATTTCTGAAACAATACAGTATAACAATTATTTACATAGCATTTATATTGTATTAAGTATCATAAGTAATCTAAAGAGGGTCAAAAGTAAACAGGAGGTATACTTAGATTATATGCAAAAAGTGTACCGTTTTATATGAGGGACTTGGGCATCCTTGGATTCTGGTGTCCATGGGGGTCATGGACCAGTCACCCATGGGTACTGAGGAACAACTGTATATGCTGTTTCAGTTCTCTGCAGTCAATTTCTACCATGTTATTTGTGCTGGGGTTTTTTGTTTTGTTTTGTTTTGTTTTTTCCAGTACTGAGGTTTAAACTCAGGGCCTTTGCCTGCTAGGCAGGTGCTCTTAGCACTTGAACCACACACCCCAGCCCTTTTCATTTTTTTTGTTTTTGTTTTTTGCAGTACTGGAGTTTGAACTCAGGGCCTACACCTTGAAGTCACTTCACCAGCCCTTTTTTGTGATGGGTTTTTTCGAGATAGGGTCTCTCGAACTATTTGCCTGGGCTGGTTTCGAACTGCGATCCTCCTAATCCCTGCCTCCTGAGTAGCTAAGATTACAGACGTGAGCCATTGGCACCTATCTGTTTTTGTTATTTTTGGAATAGGGTCTCACATTTATGCCCAGGCCCGCCTGGACTGCTGTCCTCCTATTTAAGCTTCCCGCATAGCTGGGATGACAGGTGCATACCACCACATCTGGCTTTTTATTTGTGGAAGTAGGATCTTGTGAATTTTTGCCTGGGCTTGCCTTGAACCTTCCTGATAATCTCCACCTTCTGTGTAGCTAGAATGACAGCTGTGAGCCACTTCGCCCAGCCTCTTTGTCTCATCTAAAGTTTGTGAGGTTGGATTTTTGTTACCTTTGTTGAAGCTATAGTATTGCCACTCTTTTACAGCACTAGGCAGTCTGTAGAATATGTAGTGGGAATCTGTCTGCCCTCTGGAGTCAAACAAACCCTAGTTTGACTCATGGTTCTGCCCCCTTAAAGCTGCTTATCTTCTGTAAGTCTCAGTTAATTAAATTGTAAAGTAGGATCATTTTACCTCAGTTAAGTAGGATCATTTTGGTGGGAAGACTAGTTAAAAATACATGTGTATCTTTTAGCTCAGAGTCTAGCCTACTTGAGCCGAAATAGGAGGAATTGCTATTAAATGGCATTGTTCCTTTTTTTAACTATTTGTATTCATGGAGATGATCTGGAAGTAAGCAGTGTTGATTGTGATGTCTCATTTTGAGATTTAGAAAACCATTAGGGCAGAGACTAGGTTTTATCACTTACCTCATCATTCCCTGTAGGATAGGCACCAAGAACAGCCTGATGATGGAGGACAAGATTCCCTGATCAGCAATCTCTACGACTGTTCAAATGACTATGGGCACACTTACATACCACTTATTCTTCCTAACAGTCCTTTATTTGAAATTATTCGTTCATTATAGCTAGATATAGAGGTTTCAGTTTTAGAAATTTTCACTCTGCTTTAATTCTGCAGATCATTTCTTGTTTTACTCCACTATTGCAATGAATAACTGGCTAAACACCATGTAAAGAGGGAAGATATTCCAACTTCTCACTTACTTAGGAAAACACAGCTTGAAATGTTTAAATACCTCTTTCAGAGTGGCAGTAAATCTATACTGACAACATTGGTAAACTTTTGAACATCTGACTGCTGTAGCTTCTGTGCTAAAGGGATCAGGGAGCCAGAAAAATGAACCTAAGTCCTAAGTTCAGGTTGCCACATGATATAATGTCAGTTGTCTGCATTCTTCCCTATGATCATTAATGTATGTTCCAAAATTTGCCTTCTTATCATCAGCATCCTAAATTGATGCAAGGAATGACATACATCAACACAGTAAGAAATGATTAGTGTTGAAGCCATTGTTGTGTCAGGACATAGTTTTTAAACCCCTATTTATTTTCTGTGTGTACATGTTGTCAAATGAAAATGTTGGAACCTCAACTCCTGTTATCATAAGAGCAGTGAATATTTCCCTTAGGAGTTACTTTTTTGTCCTTCTAAGATGAGCTCACCATGCCCAGAATAATCTGTCCTCAGCCAAGCGTTAGCTAATGGAGATGAGGTCATGCTTAGTGTAACACTTTAGTGAGGTTTGCGGGGAAGCAAGGCTCTCCCAGGAGTGTGGAGTTTATACTTCCTGTGGGAAAGGCAGATGGTGACAAAGAGAACTGATGTGCACATGTCTGATGCTAGAAGGATTTTAGTTACTGGAATAAAAATTTTCATAGTGTATCAAGATCGATTGATAACTGAGACAATTTATATTATTCATGTGCTAATAATGAAGCTAAATAAATTATAGTATTTGTTCCTGAGAAGTCCTTATCAAATAGTAAGACACTCTTAACTCTTAAAACAATTCATGCTTTTTTCTTTCAGCCACCCAACTACTTTACTAAAAGATATTTATCTGCAATTTGAGGCAAACCATCGGTGCCTGAAAAGACACTGCCAAGACTCTAGGTTCCACTTCAGAAATTATTTATATCTTATTTTTCAATTTTTAAAATATCAGACTTTATTTTTTAGAGCAATTTTAGATTTAAAGCAAAATTGAAAACAATTGCAGAGATAGCTCCCCTCTACCACCACCACTCTACACTTGAATAGCCTTCACAGTTACCAACATCCCCCACCACAGTGGTGGTTTGGGGTTTTTTTTTTGCAATTAATGTACCTACATTGATGCATCATTATTACCCAAAGCCATACTTCACACTAGGGCTCATTCTTGGCACTGTATGTTGAGTTTAGATGAATTTGTAATGACTCGTGTTCACCATTATGGTGTCACACAGAATAGTTTCACTGCCTTATTAAGTCCTTCATGCTCTCCCTCCTTCCTAACCCCTCACAACCACTGATCTTTTTACCGTCTCCACAGTTTTGCCATGTCCAAAAATGTCGTATGATGAGATCATATGGAATGTAGCCTTTTCAGACTGGCTTTTTTCACTTACTAATAATGCCTTGAAGTTTCCTCCATTTCTTTTCAGCACAGAATCATTATTTATCGTGATAAATAATGAAGGCCATCCTGGTTACTTCCAAGTTTTTTGACAATTATGAATAAAACTACAAAAAGCATCTGTGTGTAAGCTTTTTGTATGGCATAAATTTTCAGCTCCTTTGGGTAAATAACCAAGGATCAAATAGTAAGAATACATTTAATTTTTCAGGAACTGCTGAATGGTCTTCCAAGGTGGTTGTACCATTTTTCTTGCTCAACATCCTTGCCAGCATTTGCCACAGACAGTGTTATGGGTTTTGGCCATTCCAGTAGGTGTGGTGGTATCTCACTCTTTTAAACTTTCATTTACTTGATAATATGTGATGTGAAGCATTTTTTCATATGCTTTGGGGGGATTGATACTGAGGTTTGAACTTAGGACCTTACTTTTGCTAAGCAAGCACTCTGCCACTTGAGCCATGTACCCCAGCCCTTTTTCAAATTATTTTTCACATAGGGTCTTCTCCTTTTTACCTATGGCTGGCCTTGGACTGCGATCTTCCTACCTTTACTTTCCCTATAGCTGGCCCCTCATGCTTTTTGATTGTGTATTTCTCTGATGAAGTACACTGTGTTTTCACTCCAGACTTTCCATTAATTGGCCAGAAAGTCTTGAAACAAAGATAGTATTATTTTCTCATGGATTATAATATTAATAAGCCACCTAAGATATATTCACTTTTTCCAGGCTCGTTAGCAACCCTGCACTGTTCTGTCAGCCACATTTGTCACACCTTATTTCTCAACCATTTACTTTGCTTGAGTCTGCCCACTTTAAATTGACAAGCCTGGGGACAAGCTTATCGGTTATGATTATGGTTCCTGTAAGTTTGAGACTTCTTATACCTAATATATGGTTATTGTCCATGTGAATGAAAAAAGAAAGGCAGAGAGACTGGAGCATGGTACAGAGCATGGTACAAGTAAAAAAGGGTTTTCCTTTAATGGTAAAGGAATACCCTTATTTTTGTAATTCTGGAATCAGGGCAGAGGGTTGAAATTGTCTAGCACAAATTGATACTGTCTTCTATTATTGATATTATCATGTAAAACGGTGGTCATTACTATTTTCTAACCTTGAAAATAATGTACATATTATAGAAAAAGTAGAAGATATGGAAGAATTTTAAGGAGGAAATAAGTTGTTAGTAATTCCACCACCCAGAGACATCTACTGTTAATAAATATATTAATATGTAGAGATTTGTGTAAATATTTTTCTCTCTTTTTCTTGTATATGTTTTAATTGAGATCATATGGATTTATAGCCTGTTCTCCCTTAGGTTTGTATTGTGACCATTTCCTAAGTCATTGATAAGTTTTTTGAGAAGAACTGAAAAGAAGAAAAGAAAAAGAAAAATTAGCTACGATAACTGTTGCATGGATATACTATAACTTAGCAATCTTCTATTATCAGTATTAATATATGAAATAACATTTGTTACTATTTCCTAACCTTGAAAATATTGTACACATTATAGAAAAATTGATGACAGGCCAGCCTGAGCAAAAAGCACAGACCCTAACCAAAGCAAAGCAGGGCTGGTGCATGACTCAGGTGGTAGAGCCCCTGCCTAGCAAGCACCAAGCTCTGAGTTCAAACTCCAGTACCACCAGAAAACAAAGTTGGAATTCCAAAACTCAGAGTAAGAATAAGGATTATATGAAGGTTTGGAACTTCTTGGTACTCTTATCTGTTGGGAACCTAGCCATTCTAATAATATTATGTGAAGTATACCAATGTGGAAAGTTTTGTAGTTTGGAAGCTGCAGTCTTCATCTTGATCTACCAGGGGTACACAAGTACAAAACTTCACTGAGCTGCACACTTCTCTGTGTACTTGATGTAATTCATAGCTCAGTTAAGGGGAGTGGGGAGGATGCACTGTATTGTATGTACCATTGCAGATGATTTTTCTCCCCAGGTCCAACTCAAAGGGACCTTTAACAGTAGAGGTAAAACAAGAGTATTTGAAGAAATAGTCACTGGGATGACTAACATAACGTCAGTGACGTTGTAGTGGCTGATTTTTAATTAACTTCTATTTTCTTTATATTCTAGCTAAGAAAAGCAGCCATGGAAATCAGTGAAAACTCAGTGGATTCAAAATCCATTAAAAATTTCGAAACGTGAGTATTTAAATGGAATCCTACACAGTCAGAGAAAGATGAGTGTGTGTAACACAGCTGACATTGAGGAGCAGGGAAGGAGAAAGAATATGGGCTTTCAAGCCAGAGAGACCAACCTGATTTCCCACCTTAGACAGATGTGTGGCAACATAAGCTCGCTTCTCTCAGCCTCATCTTGAACCCTGGATTGGAAGAAGGAAGAGACTAATGCAGTGCCTGACCTAGAGCTGGGAACCTGTGCTGGAGCCAGAAAGACCTAGAGAAGAGCAGAACTCACCTACTGGAGTGTTCTGTGCCTTCCCAAATCACCATATGGGAATAGAGGATTTAGGGGTGGTGTGGGGGAGTTTTTGAACTCTTGTTTATAAATTTTAAGACTAAAATGCAATGCCAGTTTTCACTCCAAGGAAGAATGCCTACTTATGGATTATCTTTTACCCCTTGTTTTCCTTTTTGGAATATTCTGCTTATTAATCTTCCCAATAACTAGCAGATGGAGAAAGGAGAAAGATAATAAACATTCTTCGCTTAATCATGTCTGTTATTATCCATGTGAAATCTTTTGTGATACTTTTCAGTACCTTGAGTTGGTCAACACAATATATAAATGAACAAAACCATCATATTGTACCCAATGAAGAGGTACAGTTATTGTCAATACAAAATTTTTTTTAATTCTTAAAGTTAATTTTGAGACCCAGTTACATTGTTCTGAACCACTCTGGGAATTGCAAACTAATTTTTTTTTTTGAGACAGGATTTCAATATATATAGCCCAGGCTGGCCTGGAACTCACAATGTAGCCCAGGCCAACCTCAAACTGGAGATTTTCCCAAGTGCTAGGAGTATAGGCACACAGCTACCACACCTGGCCCCTACAAATTAATATTAATATGAAGCAGTTGTATTATAGCAATACTAGCAACAACTTACTAGTAAAGATTTAGCATGTTAGGGGCTGGTGGAGTAGCTCAGGTGGTAGAGTGCCTGAATTCAAGCCCCAGTACTGCAAAAAAGAAAAAAAAAAAAGATTTGGCACGTTAGTTTAGCAAAGGAATTTTCCTAGAAATTAAATTTTTGAAATATAATCCCATTTTCCAAGGATTTGTTATTGTTTAAATCCTTTTAAAGTGAGAGAGGTGTGGCTTGTGCCTGCTCACATAAGCACAAAGCCCTAAGTTCAAACCCCAGTACCACCAAAAATAAATAAATGTTTTACACATTTTCCTATCTTCTTTTCATACAGAATATCATGTAAGTAGAACGTTGCATGGGCCCCACACAGTCAGTTGTTTAGATGTTGTGATAAGTCACCCTCACATTCCCAGGGTTTTTGTGTCTCTGCTAATAGAGTTTGACGAACATTTTAATGGCTTCCTATTACTTCAAGGTAATTTTTAAGATTTTACTCTTAACTTTGAAAGATAGACTAGTTCATAAAGTTGTAAGGAAATTTTAAATTATAAAATGCGTTTGATAAAATGTGGCTACATATGCCTCACTTTCAGCACATTACATGGCCTCTGGCATATCATTCCCTTGTCTATAAAATGCATTATCAGTGCAATTTATTTACTTACTCATTTTTGCAGTGCTGGGAATCAAATCTAGGTGTCATGACATTTAAAAATAAAAGCTATGGCACCAAGTTTGGTACATAACTCTAAACAAATGTTAACAGTTCTCATGAGTCCTGGAAGTTGTATTAGTGGATTGGTCATTTCTACCATTGTAAACAATTGTTTGGTTTCCTTACAGGAAGATTATACATGGGAGTAAATCAATGGACTCTGGGATATCCTTGGACAGTAGTTACAAAATGGATTATCCTGAAATGGGCGTATGCGTGATAATCAATAATAAGAACTTTCATAAGAGCACTGGTATGTATCAAATATTTATGCCATTTATATTAGATATGATATAAAAAGCAGTATCAATGTGTTATTGGTCAGTAAACTGTGATACAAAATAGCCATAAAGTAGAGTATGAATGCTTAACTTTTCTACTTGTGTTCAAAATCTCTCCATCTCCCATGATTGCAAAAGATCCAGTTCTGTTTCCACATCTGAAAGCCAGTAACTCAGAAGTCAGAGTGAAGAGAAAAGTTTTATTAGCAACATGCTGGTGGGTTGGAAGGAAAATAACTAGTACCTGAGATTCTCTTCCTGGTTTACATAGAATTTTTGGGGGGATGCTTGCTTAGTCACTGCCAGGTGAGCCCTAAGATCCTTCATTAGTTCTGAGAAATGGTTGACCCTGGAATGCAGGTCGTGAGCTCCTTAATCCTGAGGTTACTGGATCATCCCTGACCTGTGATTATTTCCAGGTCCACCCTTTTCAGGTCTGTGCATCTGATTTCCATCACAGTCAGTCTCCATTCTGTATTTTGACAGCTACTTTTTAATTGGGACCTTTCCCCTAAGCTGGGAATAGGAAGTGCACAGGAAAAAAAGAGTTGGTGTTTTAACTCACTCTGCAGTTAGTCATTAAGATACAGAGCAGGGTGAAAACAAAGTTGCGCTTATAAATTGAAAAGAAGGAAGAGAGGAGAAAAAAAAACTTAACTTGGTGTGTGGCTTCACTTGCCACAGTTAGTGCTGTCTGTGTGCTTAGCTTCTTTTGCCCTGACAAAGCTATAACCCTTGCTTTTTTCCTGCCTCTTGTTATAGCAATGAAAGGTTCTCAACACATAGTAAATAGTCTTTTTTTCTTTCCAGAACCTGCAGCAGATATTCTGTTATTTATTTTTATAACTGAAAAGTAGCTATTATTCCATTCTGGAAGTTTACCACTTCACACAGCCACAAGGGTAGAGAACTAGCAGAGCTGAGGCCTGGGCCTTGGTCATCATCATTCCTTCTGCTCTGCTTTCTTGCTTACACCTTCATTGCCTGATTGCATTTCCCTGTTAGCCTAGGAGGAAGACAAAGCCCCACATTATAAAGAGACCTTTCTTTTATTCTGCTTCCTCCTAAGCTTTGATCTGATACGTGTGGCCTTTCCTTCTTCCCTAAATGTTGAATACATGTAGCTTAATCTTGCCACCTTCATTTCTTGCCATTCCCTCTCGAATTCATTTTTCTGCTTTCTACCTGCACCACCGAAACTTCTCTTTAAATTCAAGAGGCCCTGAGCACCAAATCTCATTCACAAAAAACTAATTAATGTTTTGTTGTTTATTGGTATTTTTTCTCAAGTTACTTTTGAAAAGCTTCATTTTATTCATAACATACAAATGATACTGTTTTATGCTTGTTCCATTTAATGTAATAAAAGCATTTTTTGTGTTGCTACGTAGTTTTCCTCTCGGTTATTTTGTATTACGGCATCCCTTAAATATACCATTCTTTTAATTTGCATAATTTGCCATGTGAATGAACATCTTGGCTGTTGCCCTGTTTCTCACCTTTCAGATGATATAATTGATAATTCTTCAAATTATCATATTAATCATAAAAAGATTACTTTTTTTAACTTGAGAAGCTAGCTGCAAAAGGTCTAGTTTAGGAAATTAGAAGGAGACCAGATTACACTGGAAAGATAAGAGGGCTGGGCATTAGATTAGCTAAAAGGAGTAAGGAGAGAATGGTCTCCAAATTTGCATGGTACTAGTGTCATTGCTTTGGGCTATGAGTTGAGATGTCAACCTTAGACATTAAATAAAAGACAAAACACTTTGTTCCTTTTTGCTTTAGGAATTTTTAAAAATTTACTTAATAGGCATTCTGCCTCATTTGCTACTAATGATGCCTCTTCCTGTGCAATTTTACCCTGTTGACCTAGTCTTTTTCCTTTCTTGCTTCCTTCTTTCTTTTGCTTGTCACTCCATTTTCTCCAAAAACCATTTAGACCAGTAGCCTGACTTTTCCTAACAGACAGCTAGCTCCTTTTCCTGTTTGAAATTTGCAAATCTGGTCATGTTTTCTGTTCTGCAAAGTGGCTCACAAACCAGCACCGAAGCTAACCATGTGGTCACACAAGTGCCTGGTGACCTCAGCCTTTCCAGAATCAAAACCTTTGCTGGGTTCATCTTAACTTCCTATGTCCATAACAGAAATTTCAGAAATTACAGAGCAACAAAAAGAAACAAATGAAAATCACTCACAATCACGTTCCACACATATAATCAACAGTGGATTTTGTTATTGTTGCTGTTGCTGTTGGGTTTTGTTTTGTTTTGAGACACAGTCTTGCTATGTAGCCCAGACATCCTTGAACTGAGATTAGAGGCATGCATACCATGCCCAGCATCTACATTGTTTAGAGATATCAGTATTTAGATTTTTTATATTGTCTTCTTACATATTAAATTTACTCAGTTTGCAGGTGTGTTTCTCCTCAGTATTTCAGCACTTTTGAAATCTGAGCGCACCATATATCAATCCATACATGTATGTGGAAGTGTTAGAAAGGAATAGTTAAAAAGCCCAGCACCCCATCTATAGGCCTGACACTAATTTTGTCACTTTGGACAAGTTTAGTGGTTTTCTTGTTTGTTTTTTTGTGCTGGGTGATAATCCAGGGCTAAGTATGCACTCTACCCCTGAGCTGCACCCGTAGCTTGTAGACAAGTTTCTTAGCTTGTTTGTGCTAAGTAGCTTGCTTTTGCACAAATGATAAAGCTAGTGATGATAGCTATCTTACAATGGTTGCAAAGGTGAAATATAGAGGGTGCCTACTAAACAGCGTTAATATGGAAGTGTTTGATTGGGTTTTTTTTCCTAAAAAGATATGAAAGTAGTAGTGTACCTTTAAATTATTGGTAACTCAGAATCAAAGAAATGTAGTCTCTGAGTGGGAGATATGTGTGTATGCGTGTGTGTGTGTGTGTGTATGAATAGATACACATTTGAAAATATGTAACATATAAGTATACATACATTTTAATAATATATGAGGTATTTATAAAATGTAGAGAGAAATATATATTTAAATATTCTTTTCTTAAAAGTGGGATCATACTGTTTTCTAGTCTTTTGTTGTTGTTAACTGGAAATCATCATGTTCGGAAAATAAGCTAGTCATTTTTTTTTTAACTATGACCGTTTTCCCATGTCAAAATTTTGTCTAAAAAAATGGCAACGTAGTACTGCATTATGTAAGTGGATCATAATTTGTTAAACCAAACCCCTGTTGTTAGACATTTAAAGGCATTTCTGTTCCAAGTTGCTATGAGAGATAGCTTTGAGGCAATAACACCAAGAGAGCTACATTATGAAGTACTGTAGATGCTGAGAAATTAAGAGACCTTCTAGCACCATGATCCAAATAGTTGGAATTTTCTTGGCATTTAAAAGGAAGAATTTATGGTAGCATGAATTGCTACATCTTTCATTTCATTTCAAAGCAGTTATTCTTTTATTTTACTTATGTTAGTAGTACTATTATTCTTATCAATGTTATCATTACCATCATTTTTTTGATGGGTCTGGGGTTTGAACTCAGGGCTTTTGCATTTGCAAAGCAGACACTCTTTGAGTGTCCACTTGGGCTACATCTCCAGCCCAGTTATTCTTTTAAAATGCAATTAAAAGTGATTCTTTCTGTTCCAGGGATGGCTGCCCGGTCTGGGACAGATGTAGATGCAGCAAACCTCAGAGAAACATTCATGGGCTTAAAATACGAAGTTAGGAATAAAAATGATCTTACACGTGAAGAAATTGTGGAATTGCTGCACAATGGTGAGAAATAATTAAAAGAATAACCCTTCATTAGCCAGTTTTATATTATGGTATCATTGTAAATTGTGCGTGTAGTAAAGTGTGAGAATTGTGGGATTATATTGCACATAATTCTGATCTTACATATGATAGTGACAAGTAAAAAATTTTATTTATGCTGACTCCCTGAAGTTGTTTCAGGTGTGTGGCTTTGCTGCAAATCAGGTCTAGCTCTATTCTCAGTCTCTTCATCTTGCCAGGCATGGTGGTTCACACCTGCAATCCCAGCCCTTGGAAAGCTGAGGCAGGAGGATTATGAGTTCAAGGGTATCCTGGGGTACATATTGAGACCCTGTCTCAAAAAGCAAAAGGAACAAAATTTCTTCATCTTATTCTCATACAGTATGTCTGAGATTGTTGAATAAAGTTGCAAGAGGTTTTGTTTTTTTTTTTTCCTTATTTATAAATGCCTGTCCAGTTTCTAAAGAAGATCATAGCAAAAGAAGCAGTTTTATTTGCGTAATTCTAAGCCATGGTGAAGAAGGAGTAATTTATGGAACAAATGGACCTGTTAACCTGAAAAAATTGACAAGTTTCTTCAGAGGAGATTACTGCAGAACTCTCACAGGAAAACCCAAACTTTTCATTATTCAGGTAGTATATAACTGAGCACCTTGGTTATTGAAGATTAATCACCAATGAACTTACTCAATTGTGAATTATGTAAGATTAATCACCAATGAACTGACTCAATTGTGAATTATGCAATAGATTTTTTTTTTTTGTCCCGAGACTACAGAATGATTGTTACTTTTTGATTCATTTAAACCACTACTCAGAAAATAGGCCTACATTTCAATTTTGGACTTACCAGAAAGACTCAGTATAATTAACATCAGTTTTTACACAGTCTTTATATTTCTTAAGTATAAGGTACATGTGTACACACATTTTTTTAAATAAAAGTTTGTTTCATAACCCACAGGCCTGCCGGGGGACAGAACTGGACTGTGGCATTGAGACAGACAGTGGCATTGACGATGACATGGCGTGCCAGAAAATACCAGTAGAGGCCGACTTCTTGTACGCATATTCCACAGCACCTGGTAAGAAATTTACAAATAATGAATGTTATATCGAAATTTTTTAGTGAATTACATTGTGCCTAATTGCAGAATTAAACAAAAATGAGTAAGGTGTTCAGAAACTATCAAGATCTCGATATTGCTAAAAAGTAGCTGGCTGGTCTATGTTTTAGAGTACCATAACACAGAGAAATCTCGTAACAGTGCCATTCATGAGCTTAATACACTGCAACAGA